CGTGGGAAGGGAAACAAACAATATTTTATTTTTGGCATGGCTTCAGATGTAAATTACTTGGAAGGTTGGCATCTAAATATAGCATTTCTAGACTTCATAATTATTTGGACTAAAGTACGTCATGTAGGTGTGATAGACATTCATGACAATAGCCATGAATCGGACTTATTGAAAAAATATGTTGGTTGGAGGAGGTGTGATTGTTGGTTAAAAATTTCCTGAAATAGAGTTAACTAGTCTCATAAGGAATACTGTGGACAGCCAAATCAGAAAATGACACTCTGGCCTCTCCATGTTAGCTCTAAGAGAAAATGTGAATTAGCCAATGTGCCTAAAACCAACAAATCTTCTTTAGCCACAAAATTTAAATTATTTCTTGATTCTTGAGGTGTTTTGAAGAAAAACAATATTTTGGGAATATTTTTTTAATTTTTGCAACAACAAACTTGTTTTCAACTGCAGCCATTGGAATTGTGAGAACCATTCTGCTCTTACTTTCCTTTTACAATGTTTTATCATCCCGGCCATATAATCCTTCTTTTCTTCTTTTTATTTGTTTGCTTGTGTGCATGCTTCGTCACACATAAACATTGCCTTTAACATCATTTGATGCGTGGCCATCTTTGAGGGATTTGTGAATAATAAGGGAATGAAGTCCCCAATCACAGTAGAAAAATCAATAAAAAAAAAAAAAAAAAAAAAAAAAGCAGGAAAATTTCCCGAAATTTTTCATTGTACTAATCATTGCTAATGAACTCAAAATCGTTAACTTTTTTTGTCACTTTTTTTAATACCCGCATTTGCGCAGAAATCTACTTCCTTCTTCCGGTCTCGTTGTCATGAGACCTTGAGTAGTCTAGTAAAATATAGGAACTCAAGGAACACAATACCAATTTCTATTTTAATAATTCTTTGTCTTTAATATGAATAAACGTTACCTGATGATCGCGTTTCTTTGTTTACATTGAACATGACGTCATAACTGGTCCAAGGACACAGTTATCGTCCTTTGGTTTTCGTTGTCTACGAATATAGTCCCTAGTGTGAACAGTGTATAAAAACTTGCATTTTTTTTTTATACACTTTCCCAATTTATTTCTTGATATTTTATGCATGAAATATTAAGTAAGGGGATGAAATTACATGTTAAAAAAATTTGGGTGCTGAATCTTTATGTTAAGTAGTGATTTGGTCCAGTTAAAAAAGGTCAAAAATTAGAATGTCTGAAGCTGTCAAACTGAATTGTAGCCCCCCTTAACACAGAATTGTCAATATTTTGAGTTAGAGCTGGTAGAAGTTTCTATAATTTTGATATTGTTTGTATCAATAGTAGTACACTACACTGTAAAAATCTTTTTGAGATAGAGCAGGTGCGATTTTTTTAATTTGAATTTATTCTCTAAAAGAAATGCACTACGAAATAACTGTGTTCTCGGGCCAACTTAAATAACGTCGCAAGTAAAATCCCTAACAACAGAACCAAAATCGGAAACGTAACGGTATTTCTGTTTCTTTTTTAACAGATTTTGATGTAACAAAAAAAATAATTCATACAAACTTCGTCCCCTTTCACAGGTAATGCCTGTCTCATATTATGTTACCCCTGTTGATCAATCTATTTTTGTAAAAAGAATTTTGAGGTGCCTTTTCGGCAACCAGTTTAAAGGCGGTATTAAATAATAAAATGCTTCGCTGGGCGCAGCTTGATACGACCGCAGAGGTCGAACCCTGAACAGTTGGGACAAGTATGGACACAACATTCAAGCTTGATACAGCTCTGAATTTGGATTGTGATTAAATATTTGACACAGCATAGGTTTCTGACACAGAAAGAATGTGGTCTAAGAACTTCAATTTTTTTAATTTACCTATTATGGTCCAATGTCCAAAATCAAAATACATGGTTAGATTCAGCATATCAAAGAACCCCATATATTCAATTTTTGTTGAAATCAAACAAAGTTTAATTTTGGACCCCAACTTGGACAAACTTGAAAACTGGTCCCATAATCAAAAATCTAAACACATGTTTAGATTCAGCATATCAAAGTACCCGAAGAATTCAATTTTTGTTAAAATCAAACTAAGTTTAATTTTGGACCCTTTGGACCTTAATGTAGACAAATTTAAAAAACGGGACCCAAAATTAAAAATCTAAAAACACGGTTAGATTTGGCATATCAAAGAACCCCAATAATTCAATTTTTGATGAAATCAAACAAAGTTTAATTTAGGACCCTTTTGACCGCAATATGAACCAATTTGATAGCGGGCCCACAAATAAAAAATCTAAATACATGGTAAGATTCAGCATATCAAAGAACCCCATATATTCAATTTTTTTTGAAATCAAACAAAGTTTAATTTTGGACCAACTTGAAAACTGGGCCAAAAATATAAAAAACATGTTTAGATTCAGCATATCAAAGAACCCCATATATTCAATTTTTGTTGAAATCAAACAAAGTTTAATTTTGGACCCCAACTTGGACCAACTTGAAAACTGGTCCCATAATCAAAAATCTAAACACATGTTTAGATTCAGCATATCAAAGAACCCCAAAAATTCAATTTTTGTTAAAATCAAACTAAGTTTAATTTTGGACCCTTTGGACCTTAATGTAGACCAATTTAAAAAACAGGACCAAAATTAAAAATCTAAATACACGGTTAGATTTGGCATATCAAAGAACCCCAATAATTCAATTTTTGATGAAATCAAACAAAGTTTAATTGTGGACCCTTTTGACCTCAATATGAACCAATTTGATAGCGGGCCCACAAATAAAAAATCTAAATACATGGTAAGATTCAGCATATCAAAGAACCCCATATATTCATTTTTTGTTGAAATCAAACAAAGTTTAATTTTGGACCCCAATTTGGACTAACTTGAAAACTGGGCCAAAAATCTAAAATCTAAATACATGTTTAGATTCAGCATATCAAAGAACCCCATATATTCAATTTTTGTTGAAATCAAACAAAGTTTAATTTTGGACCCCAACTTGGACCAACTTGAAAACTGGGCCTATAATCAAAAATCTGAACACATGTTTAGATTCAGCATATCAAAGAACCCTAAGAATTCAATTTTTGTTAAAATCAAACTAAGTTTAATTTTGGACCCTTTGGACCTTAATGTAGACCAATTTAAAAAACGGGACCCAAAATTAAAAATCTAAATACACGGTTAGATTCGGCATATCAAAGAACCCCAATAATTCAATTTTTGATGAAATCAAACAAAGTTAAATTTTGGACCCTTTGGACCTCAATGTGGACCAATTTAAAAACGGGGCCCAAAATCCAAAAACTTAATACACGGCTAGATTCAGCATATTAAAGAACCCCAAGAATTCAAGAATAAAACCCCATTGAAATTGATCAAGAAATAAGCAATTTATACGAAGTATCTTCTTTTGCACAATACTGTGCAATTGAATATTTCTTGCTATTGCGCAATACTGTACAATTGACAATTTCTTGCTATTGCGCAATATTGTGCTATTGGATATTTCTTGCTATTGCGCAATACTGTTAAATTGAAGATTTCTTGCTATTGCGCAATACTGTGCAATTGAAGATTTCTTGCTATTGTGCAATACTGTGCAATTGAAAATTTCTTGCTATTGCACAATACTTATTATATAATAATTTACACATCCTGTTTGGTGTGTATCTCCTACCATATCATTATTATTTGCTTTTAAATATAAATCAGAAATAACCAACTTAAAATGGAAAATTTTAAAAGAAAAAAAAAAAGGAATAAAAAGAAAAAATCCCCCCCCCCCAATTTTTTGAACCCCCTTATGATTCATCACCCCCAAACTCAATCCCAGCCTTCCCTTTGTGGTATGGTACCTTGCAGTACAATTTCAGAGAGATCCATACACTTGAACACAAGTTATTATCTGGAAACTAGAAAAATGCTTATTTTTGGCCCCTTTTTGGCCCCCAATTCCTAAACGTTTCGGGCAATTACCCCCAAACTCAATTCCAGCTTTCCCTTTGTGATATGGAACCTTGTAGTACAATTTCAGAAATATCCAAACACTTACACACAAGTTATTGTCATGAAACTAGAAAAATGCTTGTTTTTTTGCCCTTTTATGGTCCCTAATTCCTAAAATTTTGAGGCAATTACCCCCAAAATCAATTACAGCCTTCCCTTTGTGATATGGAACCTTGTGGTACAATGTCAGAGAGATCCATACACTTACACACAAGTTATTGTCTGAAAGTTACAAAAATGCTTATTTTTGGCCCCTTTTTGGCCCCTAATTCCTTAACTGTTGGTACCATAACCCCCAAAATCAATCCCAACCTTCCTTTCGTGGTATTGAACCTTATGGTGAAATTTCATGGAGATCCATTCACTTAAACTAAAGTTAGAGTGCGAAAACCAATGTGTCTTCGGACGACGACGACGCCAACGTCATACCAATATACGACCAAAAAATTTTTAACTTTTGCGGTCATATAAAAACAAGTGCCGGATGCGAACATAGGCAGAATTCAAAAGAGAACTGGAAACCTGCCGAGGAGTGCAGATTGGTACATATCATACTGACATACAGTACTTCCAATTTTTATTTCATTTTGCCGATGTGGTGATTGGATAGCAAATTAAATTAGCAACTAGCAATTCAATAGCAATTCAATTTGGCGATGTGGCGATCAAGCCTCTGAATCCCTATACAGAGATTACTGTTAAGTGTTGCTTCTACTAATTTGGAATTATTTTCCCTTCCAACTGTTCATTGGTTCTGTAAATGTAGATAAAATATACATTTGTGATAGGCAATAGGACTAAGTGAAAAAGTTCTATGATGGACAATAACAAAGATATGATAGACATTTGTCTATTGGAGTATTGCGCAGGCTGCTCAAAACATTTGAATAATATCCATGTATTTAACTGTTTACTCTATTGGTGTATTGCAACATTTGACAGGCATTTAGACTATAGTTAAAGTCCGTTTTTGTGAACTTACGATTTATTGCAATAATTATTTTTTCCTTGAAATCTGCGATTCTTACCCTTGAGAGAACAAAGTGTCAAAATATTTGTCCTCTGAAATTTATGATTCACAATCACCTTCACCTTTTCCACAATATTTCGCAATGTAGTTAAATTGGTTGTGATTGGAGAACATTAAACAGCAATCACCAATGGAAATGCCCCTTCCAAATTGTATGAAAAAAGTAAAATTCAAAACAATGCTGGATCAAACACGTGTTTTAGTAAGAAGCAATGTATACAAATCCTTGATCTGACGATAAAGAAGACAGTGACAACAACATTCTAAGTTATTATATTTCTGTATTTTATGAAAACACACATAAAATTATCTTTATGCAAGTAATATTCAATGACAATAGTAAGAAAATATGAAAGTAAGTTATGACTGTTTTTGAAGGGTTGCTGAGCATGCTCAGTTAAGCTAGTCCAAATAATTATGACGTCTTGCAAGGCTATTTTATTTTTTTCTGTGACGCCTTCCTACCACGGCGTCACAGAAAAAAAAAAATAGCCTTGCAAGACGTCATAATTATTTGGACTACAGTTAAGCATAATACTAATCTTCCCTGTGCCTGTGGCCTTCTGCCAGTTCTGGTAAATCATAAAGACAATACAATATATACATTAAATATAATAATGGATTTTTAAAACACTTAATTGATCCATAGGCATAGTTGAAATCGACTTAAATCTAGGGGTAGATAGTTCCTTAAAGTTAAGCCTAATTAATGAAATATTTTCTTCTGACATAAAATTACATTTTGTTCATGTTGTTAGTGGCATAAAATTATTTCCATTTGTATATCTATATAATTTCATAAAAATTTTGATGAGATGATTTTATAATATCCCACAAATAATTGAATTTAATTTACTTTTTCTTAAGACACAACAGTCTGTGAACAGATGATGTCAGAGATGATGGACAGTAGTATCATCTGAATATAAATCTGAATTATACTATGTTCTATGTGGTACTCTGAGGATGCCAACAAGAATATTTTGTAGTTGATTCTACATAATCTGTTACAACTATTTGCAATCTTTCTGATAGATCTATATAAGTAAAATCACTGCAAAGATGAATCATCAAATTTATACGCATTTTACATAAAATCAAGAAATACTGATCCAGTTTTTTTTAGGAGAAATCTAGTGTTAATGGAAGATCTTTGTTTGTTTCTGTTGGATTCATTCTTGCAATAATTTATAATTTTTGTCTCGCCTGTCACTGTGAGACATAGTGATTACTATCAAACAGCATGAACAGCAGTGTAAACTATTTGTATAAAGCTTTATACAGTGGAACCTCATTGTGTCGAACTTGGTTGTGTCGAAAACTCGGATGAGTCGAAGTAATTTCTCGGTCCTGGTAAAATTCCCGTTTGATCAATGCATTATTACCTCTGATGAGTCGAACTCGGTTGATTCGAATACTCTGTTAAGTCGAGTAAATTTTATAGTCCCGTCGAAGTGAAATTAATGTAAATTGACCCCGATGTCTCGAATTTCGAAACTAAAAATTTTCGAAAGATGCAGACCTACATGTAATGATAAAAATTCAAATTGGATGTATTTTTTATGTAACCTAATCATTTTCAAAAGAGATTAAAGCTGAGTAAACATATTTGTTTGTATAACAGTTAAAATGACATGTTTATGGTGACTGATAATTAACACCTTTGTTGATCGTTCAAGCAGAATATTAGTGTGTTGAACATTTTTCACCCGAGATAATAACGAAACGAATTTAAATGACCCAAGCCGAGACTTAAATGAATCTTTAGATTTAAAACTCATTAATTACAATAAATAAAAGGATTAGGACAATTATAATAAATTCATGAAAATTTAATGTAAAGCAGACGACCTCATCAGAGACCATTCAGAACTTATTTCGTACCGTGAGTGATTTTATAATTTATAGTGACTGACCTTTGTAAATATTTGTGTAGATTATCGATTTTATTTGTGCATGATTTTTATCTGTACTTTTGTGTTTAATTATTACGAAGGACCAAAAATGGAGATTGAATACACAATCATTAAGTGTCATATCAAAAAAAGGCACACTGTTCATTGTATCTAGTTTACACAAATCCCATACCGTATTTCATACATTCAAAATTTATGACGACACTCTTGACCTCGGATGAGTCAAACCTCGGATGAGTCGAATACTTTGGTCCGGTCCCTTCGACTTCGACACAACGAGGTTCGACTGTATTTCAGATGGTAGAAGATCTGGATGATTCATACCTTGTATGCAGATACCTTATGTTACAAAGTTTTTGTCTGTCATATGTCCATTTTCCTTGACCTCATTTTCATGGTTTAGGGTCTGCTTGAAATTTTTTTTATTATTTTTTTGTCATTTGAATTTCTCACTTGTTTCGAGTAGTAGGATAACTATATTTGGTATATGGGTTCCTTGCAATGCCTACATGTCCATCAGACAGGATTCCCCTGACCTTGATCTCATTTCATGGATCAGTGATCAAGGTTAAACATGTTAAAGTTACATGATTAGGTCCGTTTCTCAGATGCTATAAGCAGTAGGTCAACTATATGTGGTGTATGGAATGATTGTAAGGTTTACATGTCAATCTGACAGCTTTCACTTGACCTTGACATCATTATCATGGTTCATTGGTCAATGTTAAGTTTTTGTGTTTTGGTCTGTTTTACAAGTACTCCAAGCAACAGGTCAGATAAATTTGGTGTATAGAATAATTGTAATTTGTAAGGTGTACATGTCTGTCTAGCATGTACATCTGACCTTAACCTCATTTTCAATGTTCATTGGTCAACCGTCAGGGGACTTACTAGTACTTAAATGAGTGATTTTCTAAATCACTGATTCAAGTAACATTATGTCCACAAATGTAGGAAGTAAGAGTTGTCTTTCTTTAATAATCACCTATTTAAGTAGTACAAATAATCACTAGACAAAGTGATTTAAATTTAATGTAGCTTTAGATACATGTATACAATACTAATGATCCAGGGACTAATTATGTTGCTAAAATTATCAGAACCAATATCCATGATATCTGTGTTGATAGGATGACCGGTCATGTCAGATGATGACCTTGTACTAAATTTGAGATAATGACATAAAAATCACTTGTTTAAGTATCATACCTCAATTTTCTTCCAAAAAATCACTTCTTTAAGTATTATTTTGATAACCCCCACTAATTTCAACACCCCCGAACAGTGAAATTTTGATGGCGAACAGTAGAATTTTATTACATAATCTGTAAGATGAAACCTTGAATCTTACAGGAAAAATACTCCCACTGCTGGGAAATATCTGTGAAGAAAGTATCTGTGCATGATGTAAAGCCTTTATTATAGCATTTTTTCAACTAAAATAGAATTTACAGCTAAATGATTGCATTAAAGGCATTAGTTTTACGAATGAAAAGATATTATCTAAACCTATGTGTTTAAAAGATATATATTGCTATCATGTCGTGGTCTTAAGACATTTGGTTTCCGGACGTATAAGTGAATGGATCTCTATGAAATGAAATGGAAACATTAATTATATGGAAAATTGCATCGTAAGCACTCTCATGTGTACAATTCTTGCCAGATTTTTATGAAATTGTAGATTTATACCAGCAATGTCTCAGATGAGTTTGAAAATCAGTGTCGATCAACCTTTTTTACAAAGAGTTATGCCTCTTAGAAATATAAATTATATGGAAATTTGAATTGTAAGTGATCTTGCATGTACAATTTTTGCCAGAATTTTATCAAATTCATATCAAAGGTATATAACAGCAATGTCTCGGACAATTTCGAAAATAATTGCCCATCAAATATTTTTAATGAGTTTCCCTAGGAAATATTAAATATATCGGAAATTGCTCTCAAGTCTTCAAAACTCAAGTAAGATCTTTTTAAAAAGTTTTAAAGAACAAACAAAATTTTTTTTAGGTATTGCCCTTGGACAGAACTCTGTTCTTTTATTCAACAATGATCCCTAGTTGACCAATCTGCTTAAAATAGAGATCATGTGTCCACCCTTTGCTTACAAGGATCTGACAACCCTCATCTACTGTCTGTTACTGTTGTGATAACATCAGTCAATGAAGTTCCTGCCTAGACATTTGTGAAGGTGTATATAATAGACAAAACCAGAGGATCAAGAAATATCTTTAAACCAGGAAGTAAAAAAGAGTGTTTTCAAATCGTTGTAAGCAAAGCATGATCACATGATCTGTATTTTTATCTGAGATGATTGTTTACATGCTACAGCAATATCATGCTGCACCTGGTTTGGTAATAGTATATAAAGTCAATATGTAGTTTTATGTTTTGAACTTTAATGTCTCTATCAAACAAATAATTAATTCCTGTAATTATATGTTTCAGAATACCAAATTGAAGATGGAAAACACAATTATTTCTGATCCAGGTATAGTTTTAGAAGCACTGAAAATTCTGACAACACCAGGTTCAAAGAGTAATAATAAAGACAATGGTAATTTTTTGTTGATTTGCCAAATTTATTTAATTCAAAGATGATTTGTACGCTTTCTTTTTTCACTCGCACTACTAACATTGATGGCTTGACTATCATGACTATGGTGACTCTTATCTCTTAGAACTATTTGGGAAATAAGTTTGATATTCTAATACAAACTTTAATGTCATAATTTTCATGCCTTGGAAACAGGCTTTAAATGATAATCAGGACAACGTATAGTTAATGTGAATAAATGGAGATGTGCTGCATTCTTTAGTTATATACACACATCCATGTGGTATTCCAAAGTTCTAAAGGAGATGTTTGGATTTGGGGCCATTACATCATGATGTGAAATACTGGTTTAATAAATTTGTACATTTATGAGGAATCAGGCTTCCATTATAAATACCTATTTAGGGTTAAATGCAGTTTAAGTATTGAAATCACTGATTTAAATTTTTTTTTTAAATTCACAATTTCAATTACACTAATAAAATGAAAAATGCCAGTGCAAAATACCCAAACCAAACCACAGATTCTGTAAGTTAAAGTAAATTGCATATCACTATCAAGGGGGTCTCATTGGGGGGTTCTGATCCCGGATCCCGCTTACTGTTTTG